CGCGCCTGCAGCCGCGAGCGGCCCCTGCGACCGTGGGTGCGGGGTTGGCGGGACCAGAGGAGCGGCGGTTCTGGCTCCGGCTTGCTGGCCCTGGAAGTTCACGTCCCAAGTGGCGCCCCTGGCTGGGGCAAGTGAGAGCAGGGGACCGGTGGGCTGGCGGGTCGCCACCCTCCAGACGCGGGACGTCGCCAGGTCTGGGACGCGGGCTCCGGTTTAACCCCCGACCCCCTCCCAGCTGGAACCGCCAGGGGCCTCCCTCTGGCGTTTTCCTCGCCGGTTCTTCGCCGCTCCCTTGGGGCCGAGCGGAGCGCGACCGCGAGGTTTTTCTCCCGGACCCGGGACCCCGGGAAGAGTTCTCGCCGAGGTCCCAGGAGGGGGCGTAGCCCGGAGCGGTGGCCGCGGCCCGGAAGACCCCTCTTTCTCTTTAAGCCCCCGACACCTCCCCCGTTGGCCCCCTCCCCCATCTCTGGGACCTTGGGGCCGCGGCCCCCGCAGAGGGGCGGGCACTCGGGTCAGCGTGGGTGGGGGGCGCCGGGCCAGGCGGAGCGACCCCTCGGCCCGCCCCGCCCGGAGGGACCTGGGGAGGAGCGAGCCGGCGGGGCGGCCGTCGCAGTGGCTTCTGCGGGAGGAGGGGAGACGGCCGCTCGCGCCCCGGGGAGGCGAGGGTCGAGCCCTTCCCGGCCCCGTGTCCCCGCAGTGCCAGCGCGCCCCTCTCCAGGGCTCCGGGCCCCTGGCAGCGGCCGCAGAGCCTGGGCGGCCCTGGTGGGCGGTTATCAGTGCGGCGACGCGCTCCCGCCAGGCCCAGATAAGGACGTCGCTGGGGCTTGCGAGGCCCGGGACCGCCCACTCGCGTTTCTCCCGCTGCCCCGGAGCCCTGCTCCCCCGGGATCCCGACGAGCGCGGCTAGGTGGCCCCTGCCAATCGGGGTTGTGCAGGGAGGTGACCGAGCCATTGGCATTTTGGTGAGTGATTCGGGCAGGGGAGGGGGCGCCGGGTTGGAGACTGAGGAAATGGTGAACCTCTCTCCAAGCAAAGACCTAGGAAACGTGTGTCCAGATTGACTTTGGGAAGTCCAGAAGTCGTGTCAGTGTTCAAACATCTGTTTGCACAGAAATGACTCCTTGAGTTCGGCCGTCTGTGACCCCCTTTGCTGACCTCCAGTGGTCTTCCTGGAATCAGTAGCTAGCGCTTCCTTCCCTCTCTCAAGAGCATCCTTTGGCACTCAAGTGCTCCCCCCCTCCACCTCGGTTTGGGGACTGTAAGAGAAGAAACTGAAAGTGCACATTCAGAAAAAGCGTTCTGGTGCTCTGGGGTGTTGCTGTCAGGGCAGCTGTGAATGTTTATGTGATGCGAGGGATTACACACGCTGTCTTGGAAATCCCTTCTCTTTATTTCTTTCACTGCTGGCCCGAGTGCTAAATTGGACTTTCTAAGTGGGATCGGCTGTGTGGTGGCTCAGACTGACATTGCCTGTTTAGTAACTAAGAAAGGGTTTGAAAGACATGTCCTGGTGAAGGAGACTTCTTAAGGACGAAGTGCAGTGAGAACAAAAATTCTGCATTTTAAAATTATCTGAACTTTCCCCATCCTTTCTTCTCTCCCAGCTAAAATCGGTGTGCATTGTTCTCACCAAACCTGGCTCTCTCTGCCCAGGTTCATCTTCAGAAGCATGTGGGCCAGTCCTTCCTGCCCCCACATCATCTGTGACACAGGAGTGGAGGAGAAAGATTTTTCTGGCACTGGTTTTCCTTTTGATTATTGTTGGCCAAGGGGGTGAGTGTCAAGCTGAACAACAGTGCTGGCCTGACCCTCTTTCAGGAAAGGCACAGTGAGAGGAAGCCTCCATACTCTACTTTCTTCTGTCCTGCTCACTCCCTTCAAAAGAATGGAACCTCAGGATGTTTCTTAAGCATAGGACAGAGCAGTGCAGGCTTGTGCTAAAGAGCGGTTATGAGGCCACGGAGAGCTTCTCTGAAGACCCCTGGCAACATTCTCATTCTAAGCCTTTGCGTGCTGATTAAATGCTTATGGTTAAATGCATGATCATAGTATTGCCTTATTGAAATTTTACAAGGTTAAAAGATGCTCAGCTGAACTACAGCCCTCCACCCCTGGAGCATCATCCATCACTTAAGCCCACCTCTGCTGGGTCATGGTTAGCACTCTATAGGACTTGAAAGCAACTTATCAGCTTCAGAGCCTAATCATGACAGCTCTGCATTTGACTCAGGGCAGTCTCTTTGTCAGCATCAGCAACCATCCTCCCTGCTGCTGAGGTCCCCATACTGTAGGTGAGATGTTAAATGCTAGCCTGTCTCTGCCTATCCTAGGGAGATTGATGGGATACTTGGCATGTCCCAGACACAACCAGGTCTAATCCCATTGTCCCTACTGGCAGTTGCAAGATGTGAGAAACAGGTGGTGAGCGTCATCTGTCAGGGCTGTGGCTTCACCTGCGTTTTCCAGGTGTACCTGAGAGTGTACACTGCATCTGTATTGTTCTTTGTGTATCCTTTCTCCTAACTCATGTGACTGCAAAAAGAGTTAGAATTCTGTCTGCACTCTCTTTGCCTACCACCTCTTTGACATTGGAAATACTGCCTGAGGGGAAAGCATTATTGAAGTTAATGGGTAGTAAAAGCATTAGCATCAAAAGCTTTAGCATCAGAGCTGATCATTACTGGTGAACTGATTCCTGAGAAGCTGTTGGGGGGCTAGGACCCTTGTGTGTTACTCTGGGAAAAAATTAACCAGGCAACTTATTAGAAACAATGTGATACATCTTCTTTTAACTTTTAAAAACAGCATTCTTTCCAGAGATGGGGCAGTAGTTTGAAGCGTGACAACTCTTAGCTAACAACATTTTTTTTTTTTTTAATTCGGTACTTCCTCTGCGCAAAACACAATACTCAAAAGATGTGCACCTTTTTGTGCTTTGGTGTTAAAAGTGATGTTGTACAAACTTTGAGTGTATAGTCTTTCTCACTATCAGTATTTCTACATTTGCATGGGGGGGGTTAATGACATATGTGTTCAGCACTGAATGACTTATTACTTTCTAGGTTGGAGACTTTTTTAACTTGTCACCTGGGGCTGGAACCTAGGGCCTGAAGGGTGCTAGGCAAGCACTCTACTACTGAATTGCTCCATAGCTATTACCATTCTTAGAGGGATAATATATAAATATGTCAGCATATCTGGAATTGGAGGTGAACTGGAAGATTTGCAGTTTTTCTATACATGAAATATTTTATGTACAGAAGTATTTTAAAATGCATAAGGATAAACTGCCAAAATTACCTGTACAGTCTTGAAAAAAGAAGAGTTCAAATATAACTATAAACTGTAATTGACAATGAGTCATTGCTTTAGGGATGCCAGCTATGAAAACAGCCTAGTTATGCTACTAATGATAATTATGAAAACTCCTTCTAAAAGCCAGTTGCATCTCAAGTGAACTGTAAGTCAACTTGGATACATACTTTTCTTATTTAGAAGTTATCCAGGGCGGATAGCTGCATTATACTGTGAATGTACTTAATGCCACCAAATTTTATTAAAAATGACTAAAATAGCTTCTTTTAGAGTATCCTATGAATAGTTGGAAATGACATTTCCTACTTACATTATAAGAAATTTTCAAAACTTAAATTTTCAGGGGCCTTGGGGGTAGCTTGTGATAGAGCCCATACTCAGCACACCTGAGTTCAATTCCCAGCATCCTTAAATATTCAAATGTTTCATAAAAATATTTGTTCTTGTAATGAAGAAGTAATTTAATATGCAATCACTAAGTATTGAAAAAGAACAAATCTCATAAACCACAAACTTTGATAGACAAAAATGGGGATATTAAAAATATA